ATATTGCTAGAACAAAAAAATGTTAAAGCTTATGTCCCATATTTTAAGTAGTCTTCTTCACACAAGCTTGAATTTTTATTGCAGGAATAAGTAAAGTCAATGTAAAGAATTTAAAAGGGAAAGTATGAAGAAAAAAATGTTAGTTACAATTCTCTGTCAATGTTGGCACATTTCTTCAAAACTTTTCTGTGAAATATCCACATAACACACACATTTTAAGACCTGAAGTGTCTACTGAATTTTGATTCCCATTTTCTTCCCCTCAAATAATTTATATGAAATAATCCTCACAACATAAAAAGCTGTACAAGCATTTTTCTTGCCTATACAATCAAGTGGATGTTCTACAATATTTAACTGTATTTTTACTTTTGAGCACTTAAATTGTTTCCAATAGATGCTTTATTATAAGCAACTTCACAACGAGGGTCTTTGTGGAAACAATCTCAATTCACACCACTTCAGTTATTTATCTATTTATTTTATTTTTGAGTCAGAGTCTCACTCTTGTCACCCAGGCTGGAGTGCAGTGGTTCAATCACTGCTCACCCCAGCCTCCACCTCCTGGGCTCAGGCAGATCTTTCGGCCTCACCCTCCCAAGTAGGTGAGGCAACAGGCATGCACCACAGCTGCCTGATTTATTTTTTTGTAGAGACAAGATCTCACTCTGATGCCTAGGCTGTTCTCAAACTCCTGGGCTCAAGTGATCCTCTCACCTTGGCCTCCCAAAGTACTGGATTACAGACGTGAGCCACTGTGCCTGGCCTGTCAAGTATTTTCTAAGGACAGATTCCTGGAATTAATGGGCAAAACATAGGAGAGTTTTTTCAGCGTCTGGTGCACCATGCTTTACTAAATGAGATGAGGTGTTAATTGGCTGAACAAATGTAAAAGAAAATTCTGGTGGCTACTTTTGGCCATGGCTACAGAATGGCCATCTTTCCTTGCATTTGTGGAAACTTTTTCTGGTTTAGCCCCAATGCTCTCAAGGCAGAAAATATTCAAGTAGGTGAGAATGCTGTCAACAAGCTGAGCAGGGAGATATTATGCAGGGCAGACAGGGCACCCGGCAGAATAAGGGACTGATCCCTGGGCTCTTGTGGAATTACTCAAGCCAAGAGAGTAGTCGACAGTGGGGCTGGGAAGCTGACATCATGTGGGAGCTTCAGAGCAGCACATTTCTACTTTGGTGAAGAATACGAGACTTCCCATTTATCACAGGTCTTTCACAGCTATGTTCACACAGCTATGATTTTATTTTCTCAGTGGGAAGTTAGGGGTCACCCCTTCCTGTGAATTCCTTTCCTTTGTCCCTCATAGTTTTTTTTTTTGTAACATTATAATGTTCATTAAGAAAAATCAAAGTGAATGATTTACATTCTACATGTTTTGTGGTAAAGTACAAACTCTAGAAACAACAAAGAGCTTGTGGCATTTAAAAATATCAGTATAAGCGACATAAACGAAATCTTTCCAGCGTCCCAAATAATACTGTCAGTAATTTCTTTCAAAGCATAAAGGGGTCCTGAAAAGTTTGAGAACTGCTGCCTCAACATGTGAAGAATCATACAAGAAATCCTATAACCGTAAAGTATTGGTAAAGTTTTCTAAAGTCTCCTAAAGACTGATTCTCTTATTCAACAGGCAAGTTAAAGAATAATTAATGTGAAGGATTAGCCATAACCTCATCCTTTAGTAAACAACGAATTCATACTGGAGAAACTCCACAAATGTGGTCAATGCAGAGAAATCCTCACTTGTAGCTTGCCTTGACTAAACATAAAAAAACTCCAGCCTGGGCAACGGAGTGAGACTCCAACTCAAAAAAAAAAAAAAAAAAAAAAAAAAAATGCCGACAGCAGCTTTTGTGGAAAGGGAGAAGTGGAAAGGAGCAATTCAGGAAGGGTTATGGTAAAGTCAGAATACAAGAAAGCTGCAAAATAGATTAATAACAGTATTTTTAGAATGACGTTCCCTTCCAAATGATTGCTAGGCCAAGAGAAAAAATGCCCCAAACTCCTTTTGAACCAGTATTTCAAGAATGCTGATTAAGGCTGACTTACTGGAAGTTTTAAAAAACAAAACAAGATATTAAGAGTTTTAATACCAGAAACTTTAATTTTTACACATTTTTATTCTTCAAACATGTCAAATTACAAATAAATAGTCCAGACCAAGTAGCTATGTAGCATCTTTATGATGTACACATCTTCAGGCAGAAAACAGCAATAACCAGTAATACATTGGAAATGAACTCACAGTGAATAATCAATTGTAAGTATAGAAAGGATGCATTACATTTCAGTGTAGTCCAGTATGTACACTGTTTAAAAGTGGATCCCCTTTTAAAACATCACAGATGTACATAATTCTTACCCTAAAAAGGAGCCCACTTATCGAGATTTGTTTTAAAATTTAAGTTGTATCACAGGGACTAGTTGTTTAAAAACTGCAAAATCTTGAGTATTTTAGCAGCAAACACAAAGTTATACCAGATTAATTTAGCTTAAACATTGCTGAAAAAGACCACAAGCTTTAGAGAACATTATGAATATCAACTCCACAAATGAAAAGCAAAGTAGTATTTAGACAGTAGATACCACTTTTAGTTTTGTTCTGTGTCAGGAAAAACTTTTGAACAAAGTTTAAGCTAAGAAAAATATCAGAGGGGAGGGGTGAAAAAATGAATGCAGGTGTCCAACAGTCTATATGCTACAAACCACTAAACTTCCTGTAAAAGAAAAAGCTTGATAGCTTATTTCCAGAAAGCAATAGTTCTTAGGAACCATTCTTTTAGGATCTATATTCTATTTTCAGGTATTCATATTAGACTTAACAATTTACTTTGAAACTCTTTAAAAGTTTTCCTCCCCAAATATCTCCTGGTTAAACTAGTACTTCTTATATCACAGAATTACAATTGTTGGATTTTTTTTTTTTTTGATTGAACAATTTTTTTTTTCTCAGAGGGTAATGTTAAGGTATTATTTTTTAAGTCACTAAAGATGGTCTGGCTTACAGAAATCTGTTTGAAATGAAAGTCTACTTATTTAATTTCATGTTCTACTGTGGCATTTGACACCTGGCATCCAACATTTTAGGACTGAAAATAACAAAATTTAATCATATGAGAAAACAAATAAATTAGATATTCAACTAGCCTCATTAGATGTTTCTCAAAAGAAACAACTTTCATCATGAACTGATGATAAGCTACATCTTCATCTGACACTATTTCGCGCCACAATTACCAGTCACTCTCTCTCTCTCCTTTGAAGCATTAAAGCTTTCTTTCTAACCACATTTTTTTAATCACTTGAAAGCAATTATCCTAAAGACCAAACATCATAAACAAATTCTCGCTACAAACCCTGATTTAATTTTTAGATCGCAGCATCCTGATAGAAGTTCCATTTACTTTCTTTTATATTTTTACTTTTTGCAGTTGTCCCAAACATTGAAACTTAAACTATGAAAAGAGAGAAGTATTCAAAACATAATACAAATATACAAGAATATTTGAAAACAAAACACTGTATTGCAATGTCTCCAGACATAATGTTTGTGATGTGACCAAGAACAACATGGTCCTGGCTCCTTACCCACTATCTTACACAGACCTATGTTCACATCTTTATGTGAAGCCTATGATTTTAGTCCTGACTTGAGCACATCTGAATTGCTGGAATATTACTCTTGATATCCAGAAATAACAACAGACCAACAATGCACATGAAAAGACTTAACTATGTTTCAATTTTTTAAAATCACAAATAACTTCTACACTAACATAAAAACCTATACATTAAATCTTAACTCATCTTGTTACCAAGTTAGATTCCCATGTATCTTAGAATGTTGTTATCAAACACACCGTAAATTATTTCATTTTCTAGTGTAGAAAGATCATGGCAGAAAGGATAAGGTAAATTAGCTGGATGTGGTGGCATGTGCTCATAGTCCCAACTACTTGGGGGGCTGCAGTGAGCCCATGATCATGCCACTGCTCTCCAGTCTGGGTGACAAAGTGAAATCCCAGACTCAAAAAAAAATTTTTTTTTAATTTAAAAGCGGATAAGGTGCTTCTTTTTAAATAATCTACCACCACTGACACTCTCACACACAAACTCACAAACACCAGTGTGTACTATGTTTTTAAAATCCTAATTTTGAAATGAGATATATAAGTAAATATCTAGACTAAAAGTAGAATAGCAGAGTTTGGAGTAGAATAATTTTCCATGACTAATGTGTTCATAAATAAAGACAACTCAATGTACATATGGTCAATGAAATAGAGAATAACTTTTCATTATTTGTTCTTAAAATGCTACCCTTTCAGAATTGCTTCCATTTAAGTTTGGATATTTTCCTAATTTCAAACAGTTAAGTAGAAGATACTGAACATTTTGATGGCAAGCTATTAGAGACTAATCATCCATTGATACTATGCTTGCTGTATTATTTATTGCCTTTACTGTTAAATCATGACTCTCTCCTGCTATTTTGTTTCATGCAGCACCAGCCAAACTTCATTTTTTTTCTAATAAAAAATAAATATATAAAGAAGACACTGACAGGCATATATTCACAAGATCTCAATGTCTTAAAACGTAAGTACGGGTGTATTTATTTCTCCCAAAAGCATACAAGACAATAATTACATAGCAACAAATATTTTGTTCAACAATGATTTGATTCATAAGCATTTGAAATTTACATAATTTCACATCGATATCCCTATATTTTTAAATACAGTAAGTAAAAAAGCCCCCAAATAACCAATTCTTATATTTCCTATTTATCGCTCTATACATCCAAACTTTAAAAAATTACAAACTGAACATTATACAGAACATATAAATCATGTTTAAAAACTTGAGGTTTTAAAATCACTGCTTCCCCAATATGATTCAGAAAAATTCTCCTACTGACAAGCACAGTTATAGGTGGTAAAGTGAATTGAGGAGGGGGAAAACAAAGAAGAGACAGACACAAATTTGCTGTCTTAATATTTTACTAATCCTGTCAGTTAAAAATGGTGATGTCATGAGAAATAACAGTTTAGGTTTATTTAATATGAGGAATGGAGTCTGCCTCACGGTTTGAGACATGCGTTTCAAGTATTTTCCTATTTGATCTGAGCTCACTGTAGCAAACCGACACCAAAAAAGAATAATTATTTTCTTCCATACATTCGTTCAATGTCCGCCTGGTAATGTGTTTTAAGCTCTTTGCGTTTCAGCTTGAAGGCATCTGTCACCAGACCAGTTTCAGGGGTCCATGGTTCAGGGCTTAAACGAATTTTTACTGGAATTTCAAACTTTTCCAGACTTGCTAAGATGATAAAAGAAAACACAAAGCCATTAAAAATGTACAGTTAAAATTTTTAGCAAATAGTGTACCCATCAAAATGCATGAGTGGTCCATTAATCTCACTTCTAGGCAATCTATCTCTCAAAATTCTAGTATACAAATCCCCATCAATAGAATTAAACAAAATACGGTATAGGCATAAAATGGAATATAATTAAAAACGAGTTATGGCCAGGCTCAGTGGCTCAGCCTGTAATCCCACACGTTGGGAGGCCGAGGTGAGTGGATTGCCTGAGCCCACCAAGTTCGAGACCCGCCTGGGCAATTTGTTGAGACCTCATCTCTACAATAAAACAAAAAAATTAGCTGGGCATGGTAGCACGCGCCTGTAGTTCCAGCTACTTGGAAGGCCGAGGCGGAAGGATCGCCAGAGCCCAGCAGATTGAAGCTGCAGTGGCCGGAAGCATGCCACTGCACTCCAGTCTGGGCGACAGAGTGAGACTCCAACTCAAAAAAAAAAAGAAAGAGTTATATTTATATAAGTATTCAATACAGTCGTGCATCTTCTCTTAGTAAAAGCAATAATTCTGAGAAATGCATCATTAGGCAATTCCATTGTCATGAGAACATCACAGAGTGTCTTACACAACCTAATTGGAAGAGCCTAACAAACCTGCATAGCACTTGACTGTACTGAATACTGCAGGCAGCTGTAGCACAATGGTAAGTATTTGTGTATCTCAACATATCAAAACAGAGAAGGTACAGTGAAAATATGGTATTATAATCTTAGGGGACCACTGTCACACATGCAGTCCATCACTGACTGAAACATCACTATGTAGCACATGGCTGTATATTATTAGGTTTTAAAAAAAGACAAGCTGCAGTACAGGCTGGATAAACTTATATGCATTCATATGTGCAGGATGAGAAGAAGACAAATCAAGCTGTAAACCGTGTACCTCTAGGGACTGGGATTCAGGACAAAAAAAAATAATAATAATTCATTTTTCTTTTACACCTACTTGTTTTCCTTGAATTTACTAAAAGACCACAATTACTTCAGAATTAAAAATAATAGACTTTAAGAGAATCTTGCCATTGAACCAGGATATTCACTGTAAGCTATGTGGAAACAGAATGTTTGTTCACTATTTTAACACATTGCCAATACCCAGCAGATACGTAGCAAATGGAGGATGGAAGGAAGGAAGGAAACAAAAGCATCTGAGGGAGGTTAAAATGAAGATGTAATTTAAAAATATATGTGTCCTTAGTAAGACTTAGTTTTTAAGCATTTATTCAAATATTTAAAACATGACTTTGTGGAAAGCACTTTACTAAGCATTTTTTAAAAATAAAAATTGTTTCTGCTCAAGTGATATGCAATCTAACAAGGAGAGAGGCAAACACCTAGCCATAATAACATACAAAAAAAAAATGTGCTAAGGAGGAGTGACATCAGCAAGATGAAAGAAAAGAATAAACCCAGAGTCCCTCCTTTCCCCACAGAGACATAGATTTAACAATAACACACGGACCTATTTGTTGACTGTGTAAGAAATTCAGAAACCAGTTAAGAGGTTCCTACATTCCAGGAGAGCATGAAACCAACTGAATCAATGTCTGGTAGAAAATAGGTGGCATTTGCCTGCCAGAGTCCCTCTCCTCAGCAAAGTGCAGAGTCATAGGGAGAAAACCCCCAACTTCTGACTTCTTCCTGGGGAAGAAAAGGAGTGGAATATACATCCAATGTTCTAATGTTTGGGGTGTGAGAGTCTGATTTCTGTTTTACCTGAATCTAAGCAATAACAGGAACAGGGCACCATGATTGGAGCTGTCAAGAACAGAGGTTGATTAACATGCACCAGAGGCTGCATATCACAAACAAACATTAGGTGAAGCCCCAGTAAGTACTCTGGCTTACTACAGCACCAGTGAGGCCACAGTAACACAGACTTCAGGGGGAGTTCCTGAGTAGAAACCTGCAAACCATTCAGTTCGCTGATACCCACACAGAGAGCTCAGACACAGCCTCAGAACAGGTTTAAGATGGCTCTAGAATCTCTATACAGGGCTGGTTAGACAAAATCTTCCCAATACAAAACCTGAGAAAGGAAGCCAATTTTTCAAATGCCTAAGTCCCAACAAAAAAATAAAAGAAGACAATGAAACAGAAAAACATGGCCTATCAAAAAGAACAAATTAAATCTCCAGAAATCAAACCATGTCTCCTAAAGAAATGGAGATATATGAATTACAAAAAATGATTATTATAGGACTGCTCAATTATTTCAAAATGATTATTATAGGACTGCTCAATGAGAGAGCACAGATAGACACCTAAACAAAAACCATGAAAACAATGTATGAACAAAACAAGAATCTAAACAAAGAGATTTTAAAAAGAAGAAGAATCAAATAAAAATTCTGGAACTAATACACACAATAAATGAACTGAAAATTTCACTAGAGGATCAATAGCAGACTTGACTGGGCAGAAAAAATAATTCATGAACTCAAAGATAGGGCTTTTGAAATTACTAGGGTAGAGGAGCAAAAAGAGAAAATGAAGAAAGCCTAAAGAAACTACTGACACCATCAAGTAGAAAAACATGCATTATAGGAGTTCCAGAAAAAGAATGAAGCAAAAAGCAGATTTGAAAAAAATAATGGCTGATAATTTCCAACATCTGGGAAGAGAAATGGGAGTATAAATTAAAGAAGATCAAAGAACTCCATTAAGATAAATCTAGAGAGAATTACACTAAGACACTTTTATAATCAAGCTGTCAAAAGCCACAAAGAATCCCAAAAGCATCAAGAAAATAATGACTCATCACATTCAAGGGCGTTTCCATTGAACCATCAGATGTAGCAGAAGAAAGCTTGCAGGTTAGAGAGGAGTAGCAGTCAAAATACTGAAAGGAAAAAAAAAAAACAACTTGCCAACCAAGAATACTGTAACCTAAACCTATCCTTCAAAACTAAGGAAAAATTATATAATGTCTTTTTTTGTCCCTTATGAAAATTTTTGTCTTAACATCTATTTTATTTACGTATTATCATTCTCTGATAAACAAAAGCGGAGGGAGTTTAACACCACTAGACCTGTTCTACAAAAAATAATGAAGGGAGCCCTTCAGGTTAAAGTAAAAGGACAATAAATGGTAACACAGGCCTGTAATCTCAGCAGGAGGAGACAGGAGGATCAGGACTTCAAGACCAGTCTGGGAAATGTGGCAAGACCTCGTCTCTTTAAAAAAAAATACACAGCTGGGCTCGGTGGCTCAGCCTGTAATCCCGCGCCTTTGGGAGGCTGAGGTGAGTGGATTGCCTGAGCCCGCCTGGGCAGCGAGACCTCATCTCTACAATAAATTTTTAAAAATCAGCCGGGCATGGTAGCACATGCCTGTAATTCCAGCTACTTGGAAGGCTGAGGCGGAAGGATTGCCGGAGCCCAGCAGGTCGAGGCTGCGGTGACCGGGAGCGGCCACTGCACTCCAGTGTGGGCGACAGAGTGAGACTCCAACTCAAAAAAAAAAAAAAAAAAAAAAAAAAAAATATATATATATATATATACACACACAAATTAGGCAAACATGGTGGCATGCACCTGTAGTCCCAGATACTTGGGAGGCTGAGGTGGGAAGATTGCTAGAGCCCAGGAGGTTGAGGCTACAGTGAGCCATGATCATGCCACTGCACTCCAGCATGGTCAACAGAGCAAGGCCCTATCTGTTTTTTAAAAAACAAACAAAAAACACAAACTCTAAGAAACTTCAAAACTCCTTGGTATAGGTAAACACACAGACAAATATAGAATTCTGAAGTAGTGTGATGCAGAAATCACATTTAAATCTGGTATAGTATTTTTTAATAAATAAAAAATTACACATCTGTCTTAATGGATACACAATAAAAAACAGGTGTTGGTGTCATCAATAATAACATTAAATGAGAGGCAAGGATGTAAAAAAGTGGAGTTTTTTTATAAGATGGAAATTAAGTTGCTATCAGTTCAAAATAGTTAAAACTTTAAGATGTTTTATGTAATTGTGAAAGAGAAATAAGGGGATCAAAGCATGTCGTAACAAAATAACAACAGCAAAAGACGGAGCAAAGGAGGAAAAGTCACCAGACACACAGAAATCAGTTAACGAAATGGAACTAGTAAGTCTGTCCTTATCAGTCAGTACTTACTTGAAATGTAAATGCTGATTAAATGCCGAATTAAAAGACAGCTTGGCCAAATGGATTTTTTTTTTTAAAGATCAAGATCCAAGTATAAGCTGCCTACAGAAAATTCACCTTAGATCTAAGGACACAGCCTAAAAGTGAAAATATGAAAAAAAAGAATTCCTTTCAAATATCAACCTAAAGGGATGATCATACGTAAATAAAATAGATGTTAAGACAAAAATTTTCATAAGAGACAAAAAAGGACATTATATAATGATCAAAGGCCGAATTCACCAGGAAGATATAACAGTTATGAATACATAAGCACATACCACTAGAGTTCCTAAGTATATGAAGCAAATATTGACAGAACTGAAGGGAGAAATAGTAATACAATAAAAAGAGACTTCAATATCCCAACTTTCACTTATGGGTAGAATAATCAAAAAGAAGATCTATAAGAAAACAGAGGACTTGAAAAACTTTATAAACTAAATGAACCAAACAGACATACACATAACACTCCAACAACAACTACAAAAATTCATACTCTTCTCAAGGATATCTGAAACAGAATTCAAGACAGACCACATGTTAGGCCACAAAATAAGTCTTAACAACTTTAAGAAGACTGAAATCATATAAAATTATCTTCTCCAACCTTAATGGAACGAAACTAAAAATTGATAGCAAAAGAAAAATGAAAACAAGCAAATATGTGAAAATTAAACAACTCACTCTTAAACAACCAATGGGTCAAAGACAAAATCACAAGGGAATTTGGGAAAAGAACAAACTACAAACTAAACTCAAAACTGGCAGAAGGAATAAATATT